AATGGAGCGTATACTAGAGAAGAATGATGTTGCGGCAAGAGATATAACAAGCGACGTTCTGCGTGAAAAGCTTAGAAGTGTGCTGAATGACGTCGCGCTTTACGCGGATTCTTGTAAGATAATCAACAAAGACACCAATCTAATTATATAGGACACGCAGTTCATAGTGTAAAACGCACAACTTCCCTCTTGGTGACATGTTCAATGTGTCTGTGGTGAAGCTGGACCAGAAATCTACGAGTTGCTGGATCCGAATTCCAAACAGTACCCAGACACCGACTATCCCCCGATGATCCACGATCGGCTGAACATGTTCACATTGTGTACCCGTCAGTAAAGCAGGGTCTTGCTCCTCTGGTAACCGCAGAGAAACTTAAGTGGGTGAAGCTTGAATGTCTTGGCGAGATGTGTGGATTGGGTGGAGTAGTAGTGGAAGATCGAAACCCTACGCCCGATGTAGGGTCCAGATCAAAAGCGAGTACTTCGATCTTGGAGGATCTGGAGGTCTCGATCTGGGATCTTGACCGAGGGTTGCCTTGAGGGTGTATTTTCTTAAGTTCTTTGTCGTCGTGCTTGAGAGTGTGTCACCTTGGGTTTCCTTCTTGCCGTGCATGCCGATTCCTATAGGGGGATCTTGATAGTTGAGAGTCGATAGGTATTCTCGTCCAAGCCGTAATCCGGTTAACCTCCTTGATCTGCACTTGTAAGGGAAACTTTACTAGATGGTATGATGTGGCCAAAATGCTATCAGGTATCGCAATCAACACTAGATCTGCTATTCCCAACCTTCGCTGAGCTCGTTGCGGCTAATGTCGTTCCGGATCTTGAGACCATGAAGGCACTTGTGTAGCACAATGCAAATTCGAGTCTGATTTATTGTTAGGTCCTATACATCAACTATCTCTACCCCCACAGCTATTTGGCTTCTTATCTCCAGCTATGTACCTGTTCTTTCTTCTTTATTTTCGTCGTCCAGCTGTCCTTAGCGCAGGATCTTGTCTGATCTACAGTGTAGTACTTGTGTCTTATGGCTGGATCTTGGAGGATCAGTCCCGATCACGACAATATACCCAGATCATGAAACATATACATCAGATCCTGGCAATATTGGTGGTCACTCAGGGTACATCGAGTCAGGATCCATGTTGGTCCAACTTTCACACTCCTCCATAATGACACTCCACATACCGGTAGTCACTGATCTAGCGTCACTGTCCGGGATCCGCAGTCTTACACAGTAGATCTACCCGGATCAGGACGCATACACGCCAGACCCCGGCGATCTTAGTCATCCGGAGCCTGTTGACTTGGTCCAGCCTTCCCAGATCGTCATCATGACCTTTCACACGTATTTCATTCCAATCTAGGTCCCACCGTCCTAGATCCACAGACAAGAACCCATTCCGCAACGTTCGGATTTGAGACGCTTGGTTCTGATTGGGGTCCACCATATTATCGTAATCTCCAATCCCGTAATCTTTGA